ATTTGCACAATCTTCTTCCAAGAAGCTAACAGGCAGAAGAGATCAGGAAAGGGTTAGGCATAAGACATATCCAGTGGTGGTAAAGAATGGATGCTTCCGAGGAAAAATATGAGAAAGAAGGCATGTGTAGAGTGACCCATTCCTTGCTAAACCCACACAGTCACCACGTGTAAATTACTGGTTGCAGTTATGCCCTCAATTTGCACATTTCCTTAAAAATAATTTCTTTAAAATAGATGCACTGTTCAAGTTTAAAAAGGGAATGAATGAGTAGGCCGCTTGATAGGGCAGTTAACTACATTTTAAAAATAGATACTCGGTTCCACCTATGTTTACTTGTCAGGCATAGGTTAGAGCTCTCTTTACAGCGGCTGAAATCTATCACGTAATACAGAGGATGATGAATGTGCATCAACTAGTAGGAGGAAAAAGAAGCCTGAACTCTTACTTTTGTAAATGGTGTTGAACTGACACCTCCCTTCATCTGAAATCAAAGGTATTTAGGGAAACTGGACCATCCTTTTTTTCTATAACAAAATGTTTGTTCACAGTGGTCGTACAATACGCTGTGTTTACGTGTATAGCAAGACTTGCTAATGCAGCCACAGTAAGCATGATGGATAGACAGAAATTTATGTTGACTATCGTGATCTGCAAGGGATTCTCAGAAGAAGTTCGATCACATCATTCTTTTCAAACAAAGGCTCGTGTATGATTATAGAAGGCTTTTCTTTGCAGTGTTGTGTACAGGTCTGTATTCCTATTCACAAGCTTTCTTTTTATCACAGGCTCTTTCTTTAAAATCCAGAAACAAGTTTTAGACATGACCAAAAAATGGAACACGGAAATCAATGGGTACGAGTGAGCCCACTGGTCTATTATGCTGATTTATATACCTGGTTCAATCAGGTATGCCATCGTCATGTCTTTTACCACCCCCACAAACATTTAAATAAACTTACTGCTCCAAAGTCCTTCTATGTAATAGCTCAGTATGGAGAGCAGCAGCATAAGCTTCCCCGCACCACTTCACCTGCAGCACCTCTTTCAAGGAGGTACATATTTGAAGCTGTGTTAATAAGATGGTTGCATTGTCCTTAACAAAGCCTCTCCCTAAAAGGAAAGGGTCCAGTTGACCTGTAGGATACTATAAAACCCTCCCATGCTTGAAAAGGTTGCAAAAGACTAGGAGGTTTAGCTCATTTAGCCCTGTGATGCTTAACCTCTGGTCCACAGGGCTCCCCACGTGTCCAGAAGTTTGGCTTCCGGAGCCATGGAGGTCAATGCTGCCACCATTCCCCCACTGCCAAGTTTCTAGACCTGCAAGGAGCCCTCAGGCTGGATAACACAACTCTATATGCTGGACCGTGGGATCTGCTTTGCAAAGCCACAAATTTGAGCACTACTGGTTTTGCCTAAAAGAGGCTGAGGGGGTACAAGGCTAAGCTCCTGGCTCATAATTATGACAAGATGAAGCTTCCTGTGCTGAATTTTAATAAGCAGCAGGTTTCTCTGACAAAATAACAGGTCCTGAGGACTGCAACAAAGCTATTCCCAAGTGGATGGTTATCTGGAAGACCCCAGAACTCCACCACTCAAGATGCCCAAGCAGGCATGCCCAGGGTGCAAACCAGTGGTGGCTCGACAGGGAGAGCTCCTGCCACACAGGATGATGTTTACAGCTGCTTTCTCTTCCAGCACTAGTCTGTCATAACCTAATCTCTGATGGGCATCAAAGGTTGTAGTTTAGGAGTGGGCAATTATTTGTGCTGGAGGGCCACTTACCTAGGGAGTTGAGGTGAACTGTTGCAGGCCAGGCCTGCCCCCTGCCCCCAAGCTGTCCCTACTAGCCACAGTTCATCAAAACTTTTAAGTGGCTCTCTGGCTTAAATAACTGCCCACTCCTGGGCAGAAAACAGAAGTTAGGAAAACCTAACCTTTGTTCCCCACTTCTCCTTACTCCCCTTCCCCCACCACAAGTGCCTGGCATACAGCCAGGCCTGTGCCATACTCAGGCTACCTGGGTGCAGCTGGCACAGCTCCTGCATGCCAGGGACTCAGGGCAGGGCACGGGGGTGCAGGGAAACAGCATAGTACTGGTCCACATGACCACAGTTCCCTGCACCCCTCCCCCCATTCCTGGCACATGGCTGGCTTGGACAGGAGTCACACCAACTGCATCCATGTGGCACAAAGGAATAAAATGTGGCACCAGCCAGCCTAATTGTGTGTGGGGACTTGAGGTGTGGGGTGTGGGTGCAGGGAGCTGCAGGTTATCCAGAATCAGCTAGCTCAGTGGCATGATGTGTTCCCCCTTCTCCCTGCACTCCCTCCCCCACCCCGAGTCCCTGGCACAGCTGGGGCCACATGCTGCTTTGGGCCAAATGGATGCAGCTGGCATGGCTCCTGCCCAACTTGGCCATGTGCCAGGGACTTGGGGTCAGGCAGGAGCTGCACCAGCCAGTCCAGCTGCACCCATGTGGCACAGCCCAAAGTGGCATGTGGGAACAGTGTGGTACCAGTGCTTGTGCTCCTACCAGGCTCCAGTCCAGCAGGGCCCAGATAACCTGCGGCTCCTGGCCCTCTTCTTTATGTACCACCTCCCTTGCCAGTGGCTTTGACTCGATGAGTACAGGGTTGGGGCAGCGCAGCCAGCCTTGCCTGGCAGAAGCCTGGCCAGGAGCTCAGCACCTCCGGCCTTGGAGCTTACACTGGGGTTGGGGGGCAGGACAGGGTGGGTCGGCCGAGGAGGGGAGTGGCTGTTACTACTGCCGCAGCTGACTGGCGGGCATGGGGATAGAAGGGCTAGAGGCACTGAAAGCCATGGCAGCCACAGGCCAGATCCAATTCTCTTTCAGAGGAGCAGCCATGCACAGGCTAAAAATCATCTGATGGGCAAGATCCAGCCCATGGGCTGTATTTTGCCCATCCCTACTGTAGTTCATTGCCAGTCAAGTGACAGAATAAAGATTCTTGTATTTGATTAACTGAAAATCTGATACATGTGAACCAAAGAAAAAGTGAGCATGGGGAGAACTGTGTAGAGCTCTGGATACCTTTAGAGAGGTAAATAAAGTATGGCCGAAGAAAAATCATTTGATTTGTAACTCCTGCTAAGAGCAAATTTCAACAGAGCATTTTTTTCCTTTATGTAACGCGTGCATCTCTCCCCCTCTTGATATATAGAGAATTCTCTCTCAGTTAACTTCAATAGGAACAAAATGTTCTGTATAAATGTATTCAAGTCTTCTTGAGAAATATCTTGTCATGTGACTGGTTAAATACAATAAAATAAATTCACTAAAGATGATGGAATTAGGTTGGGGGCCTTATTAACTTAAACTTCATATATTCCATGTAGACCATTGGTTTATCCATATCCTGTTAATTAAAGAATTCACAATCTTCTCCAGGTATTATGAGAAAAAAATTCACTCAAGAGAAGGATGATTTAAATAGTTATCTTTTAATCTTTTCATAAAACAAACACATTCTTTCCAAAGCTGCTTTTAAACACATATGTTCATTGTTTGGTAGCACTGCTAGCAATTATAAAAATATTTGAATAATTTTCATTTGCAAATAGGAAAACAAAACATTCTAGACGTCTGCTCAGAGACACTTTCACATTTCAGTATGATCAAGTTTAAGTGTTCAAATGCCCCAATTCCCAAGCTCACAGCCTGAGTTAACACACAGTATGTATATTCACTTCAGCTTCCGCTAACTTAGTTGCACACAATTCTCGAGTACCAAAACGGTAAACAACATCAAACTTGCCCCATCAAGTACAAGGACAAAAGTCTAGAGGGTTTCACATCACAGCTCTGAGAAATAAACAACATTTTTCCACCAGTACCATGTCTGTGCTTAAAGATTAGTATAGTTTACAAATTTTACAGATATCACCAGTACTTATAAAGGCTAATACTAGGTATTATTCCTACAAATATTCTTAACGGGGAAAGGTTAAGTACACTAACACAAATACATAAAAACTGAATGGCATTTCAGTTTTTGATCACATTTTTCCTATGAAGTAGACATACAATATCTAAAGACAAACTTACTTTCTGTGCCTCAGAATACAGCTGTTTGCAGTGTGCTGCACTCTTCAACAGAAGCAGCTTCAACTGCCACTGGACCCCCCCCCCCCCCCACACACACATTTTCTCCCAAAGGGAAACATACCTTTTAGGGAGAACTGGTTACTCTTCACTTGCTGTGAGACTGAGCATGCACATTCAGGGTAAAAGTGCTTGTGTTAACAGAGTTTATATTCTTAACTTCCCCCTCACCCTGACGCATTTATAAGCTTTTAACCCACTACCATAAAAAAATGCTCACTAAACATGCAATCTAATTGCTCATTTTGCTGTTTGCCAAAAAGCCACGATCATTCCAGTACCATGATGTGCAACAGAAATAACTGCACACATTTTTTAATTGCATCAAAGCAAGGGAGTGTGAAGCAGCAGCTGTAAATGGATAGCGACACTACGCTATCCCACCTGCTCAAGTCATCAGAAACTAACTAGGGCTTGCTGAAGTGTGGATGCTTGCCAGTCTGCAGGTCTTTATTCTGACAGTGAAATTCAGTTGGGCTGCAAAATGTGTGACATAAACCAAGACCAAAGACTCACATCTCAAATCTGAACTTTTCCAGCTGCTATCCCACCAAGCAGTTTTCCACCCATTTCTTGAGGATGTCTGAGAAGCAATTTCTCTGAATGTGGAAGTCTACTGTCTTGCATACTGGAAAAGTCTGACAGATATGCATTCAGGCAATTTACAGGCTTTAGGCTCAGGATGTAGTAGTCACAGGTTTAGTAAATGAATTTTATTCATCTACTCTAACCACTACTGTGAACAAAACTTTTGCCTTCATCAATGCAGCTTTCAGTGTTAAGATGACTTTGGTTAAACGTGTATGAGATGATATATGGTAGAGTAGTCCAAAACAGTCAGCTTTCCAGTACATCAGGTGGGGATTTTTTTTCCCTTAAGCTTCTAACCAATTGCACATCTTGAACAGGATGAATTCCCCAGAAAAATTACAAAAGAATTTAGTAACCGAGTCAGATTAAGTTGCACAATGCCGAGTTTTGTAACGTGTCTACCAACCCAGTTCTAGTATTCTTCTCTACCCCAGCCTTAGCTTAGTCAGAATTCCTACATGAAAACATTCCCAACCTTCAGGGTCACCCACAAGACTGCTTGCTACAAATTAAAGACCAAAATGCAAGCCAGTAGTGAAGACCTCTGCTCTGACAGTGCAATTAGTTATGGTCACAGCTGACAAGGATTTTTTTGTTGCTACATGTGTTGCATGAAGGAGGAATAATTGGTCTGATTAAAATAACGAGTAAGGAAATTGCCAAACTCTTCTGTGGGAACCGCTCAAGAGTGACAGCCACCCTTTGAATCTGAGAGAAAGAATTGTCCTCAATTTAAATGGACAATACACCACAAAATGGGACAATCTTGCTACTGCCCTAAGCAACCAGCACCACACAACTAGATTCTCTACAGAAGCTTCCAAGATCCTTCATTCATGAAATACTTTTGAGAATGCAAGAGAATACTTCTGAATGGTAGGCACTGGATTAATACCTTGTCATAAGTTACAACATACAAAACTGTATTCTTTCCAGAGAATCTCAACTCTTAAAGGTGCACAGAGGCACCAGGAATCTACTATGTGATCTCACTGAAGAGTCTATCTAAAAAAAATTAACAAGAATGCATTAGAGTCTGGTAAATTCAGTTTGCTAAGTGAAGCATTGTGTTTGATTTTTATATTCACTTTATAAAAGTCTGGCATCAGTCCCCCAATCTCCATTATTAGCATACTGCAATTACGTGGAGAATTTACTTTATCTAGTTATTAAACTGTGCATATCCAAACTTGCAGATGATCCCCAAAAGCCCTGGTAACAGCAAAAGGCAAAATTACATTTGCTGTCCTTTAAGAGAAGGAATAAGCTAGGTTGTCAGAGAAAGGATTGGAAGCACCAAATATTTTCATGTGAAAACTGCCTCCAGTTAGCTGGCTAGCTCAGCTGAAGAGTCATTCACAATATTATACCCCATGTTGAACAATGGGGCTTAAAGAAAAATTTAAATTCATACAGCAGTGCTGAGGCAACTAAATATAGTTTTGCTCAGTCTCCTCCAAAAACTTCCCAGCTTTCTCCTGTTGCCTCTGCAATCAAAAGCATGAGCAAAAGAAAGCCTAATTGTTTTGGTGCTGAAATAGAAGTCAAACTCAACAAAAATATCATAAGTATGACTCAAAGGGTTAATACAGTTTTACATGAAGCACCTTCATCTGAAAGTCATAATCTCTTGCCTGTATAAAGGTTACAAGTGCTTTTTCTCCGATTCTAAGAATATGATTTGCTTTAGAAGTCTATTTCAAAGTCAAATCTGTTCCTTAATTTAGGAGCCCAATCCAGGGAAAATGCTAAAGATTAAATTTACAAGGTCAGACCTGGATGTGTCAGACACGACACTGGTTACAGCAGGTTAATTTACTCCCAGACAAACAGGCGTGACCCCAGTGATGTTAATGGAATTGCACTCATTGATGTTCAGCAAATGTTTAATACTTCCTTTTTTCGTAAGAGATCTGCATCCAGAAACTTACAAATACACTGCTGGCCCTGCTCACAAACTTCTGCTATCGTTTGAACAGAAGTGTCTTTAAAAGCCAACTGCATTAGTGGGTTGACAAATTTAGCCCAGTATTTTTTAGTACATTATTATACTGCCACCACGTATTTGCTCATGGCTTAGAATTTTAATACTTTAGTGAGCTGGGGAAGTGAACAGAGTAACTGAAGCCTCAGATGTATCTTAGGGATGTACAGGTTCAAAAATCAGATGCTGAGTATTACAAGATAATTCTTATTGGAATACAGGCAAATATTTCAGTTGCTGTCATTCAAAGCAAAATATTTAAAGCCTTGCAATTTTAAACACTCTGTATTCTAGTGGTATTTGTGCTGTAGAAGCAATTTTTATAACATTTAATCCTCCAGTCCTTCCACTGTGAATCCCTTACATTAGTTTTACTTTAAAAAGAGTTAGGTTACCTTTTGGATTTAAAGAAAGCACTGATAAATTCAAGGAATCAGTAAAGTTCCTACATAGTATTCTATAAAGTGCATCTACAGTAATTTCCCTAATATTGTTAATGCAAGAGGACATATTTAAAAGGTCTAATTTACTAAACACTTACCTACACGGCTTTGTAAGTTCACCTAAAGATTCTTAACCCCTCAAGGACCAAGTGGTTGTAGAATGCAAAAGAGATATGCTCTTCCAATATATATATATATATCCAGTGCATATTTACTGTAGTGCACTAATAGATCAGCATTCATTTTCTTGTTTTACTTTGCTTGTATTTCTGCTGATCCTTTTCTAGAGCGTCTCAACAAGCCTCTTTAAAGCCCCCAATAGCTTAGAAGAACACTGAAACATTATTCCAGAACTATTACCTGCCAGTAACAGCACTCTAGACTAGCCCTGGAGTAAGGGCTGGGCAATTTCAGTGTGCCGCACTTGTGTGGTAGGTATTTGGCTGTGGGTTAAGTGCTTCATAAAAACTACAAGAAACACAATAATGAGAATGGTCCCAAGAGAGACTCCAATAAAATAAGCATAGGACTCTTTTTCATAATCTCTAGGATGAAGCTCTCTTGGAACTGGTCTAGCAAGTATATCTTCCACATTGCTGAACGATCCATTGTTTGGCAGTGGATTGATACCAAGCAGGTGGCACAACAAGGGGTACAGGTCTGTCATATTCATGGCTCCTTTGGTGGCATTTTTCCGAAAAGCAGGACCATGGGCCAAGAAGATGGAGTGCATTTCTGGTAGGGTGTTGTCATATCCATGATTCCCCACTAAAAAGATAAAAGAATCCTGGTTATCAAGCTTGTCATTTTGACCTTGTAAAACAAACGTTTAAACATGTACAGTGACATGGCTCATTATTTTGTTTTTCCATAATGCAGAATGGAGACAAGAAGCCTTGTTTATTTCCCTCAAGCATATTTCTGAAAAAGAGTCCAAATACCAGTAAAATCCAAGTTATGATAATTTAAAAGATAAAACAGAAGTACCTTATAGATTTTCTGAACTTGAGACTCGTTACCTGTCAGCTCAAACAGGCACCCTGCTTCTCATCTGGTGCCAGACATTTTGTAGAACCAGTCCTTAGAAATTTTGAGATCTAGCTCTGAAAGCTAATCTTCTCCAAAACCAGCTGAAGTGTTTGATACAATTACTTTTTAAAATCAGTTTAAAGCTGGATTTCCAAAAGTTTATAAAGCAGCTAAGAGCACAAATCTCACTGCTTTTAATGGGACTATCCTTCCTACTTCACTAAGGGCTTTTAAAAGATATGGATGGAGCCTTCAAGTACATTCTTAACCCAGTTGGTCAAAGCCAAATTGGAGTTTCATTGGGCCAGGAGAGGCCTGGCATTTACAAGCTTTACTGTGTTATTTGAACAGCAAAGACATGTGAAATCTAAGAACAGAATGAAAAATACTTACACAGAAATGGGTTGGTCTTATTTTTTACGATTTCCCATCCTATGTCAGCCACTGCCAAGACTGGCTGAATTCTGCTGCTGTGTTTGTAATGTAATCTACTCGGAATTTCCTCCTTTTTATAAACAGTCATGTTGGGATGTGCATTCACCAATGATTCATACACTTCATCCAGTTTACCTTCAAAACAAAACAAGAACTTAATACACACACACTAAGTCAAGGATGAGCCACGAGCTGAAATAACCTATTGCAGGCTGAAGCAGAGGAAGGTAAGTGTGCTGTGCTCAGAAGCCACATTTAGCCAGGAAGTCACAATTTGATTCTCCAACTGAGTTGTTATATTCTGAAGAGAAAAACCACTCGGGACTGATCAACATTCGAATGAGTCATGTTTTCTCTGAATTGTCTTAGAATGTCTGACTTATCTCATGATAAGTCAGCAAGCCTTAATTATAAGATAGTATGAGTTTGACATATTTACTTTAGTTAGGGACATCATAGGGGTAATATTGTTAAACTGTAGGCAAGTTTTGACAGGAGGAAGGCAACACTTTCTCCCATAATCCATCCACACAGATTTCTCAAGGAGCAGAGCTTTTAAGGAATTTTCATGTTTGTCCCCAGCTAGCAGTGGTGTTCAGCCACCTTTCATTGGAAACTGGTATCTTGGGGCAGGGGGCAGACGTAACATTTGAAGAGCTTCAAGTGGCAAGGCAGACAGACACACAGACCCCTCTGAAGCACTCCAAGAAGAGCACTTAGAGCATTTAGAGCTCTAGAGCACTCATTTAGAGCACTTAGAGCATTAGAAGCACTTCAAAATGGACCCTTCAGTGTTCCAGGCACGCTGCTCTTTCCCTGCCAGCTTGGAGCAGAACATGGAGGGGGGGAACCACAGCGCTGTGTCAATGAGTGCTCTCGTGTTTGCTCTGCCTCCTCTCTCCTGGAGCGCCCTGTCCCAACAGAATCAGGAAAGGGGCAGGGGAGAAGAATCTCAAATTCAAGCTTTCCCTGTTTTGGCCAGGGGCAGTCTGGAGAGTACTCACTGCTCTGCGAGACAGCAGCGTAGCATCTGCTCTGTTCTCCTCTCCTCCCTTGGGGTAGGGAGCAGAGCCAGCTTGTGCCAGTGCTGGCCTGAGAGCACCCTGCTACATACAGCTGTGGCAATTTTGAAGTGCTTTACCAGGAAGGTGGCAAAGGGCCACAAATCTACCTGCAGCTGGAACGCTCTGGGGTTTTTAAGTGTTTCAGAGTGCAGCTGCGTTGTAAAGGGTTTCAAATGTCCCACCTGTCCCTACCCTCCGGAGGGTATTGTCTTGTAAAAAGCTTAACTGGGAGCTATTACATGTTAACTACAGGTGGTACCATCAGACCCCAGGAGCCCCTAAATATTAACTTGCACTAATAATGAGCCAACTTGTTACAAACTGGAACATCTAACATTGACAGAGAACAACTAGGGCTTTTTTGTTTATTTGTTTTAAAAAAATATTTTCCAGTTTATGTCCATGATCTTGCTCTATTTCAGTCTACATTTTGGTGCCTACCTCCAGTTAATGTTACTGGCTGGTCTCTTACCATTTTATATTAGACAGACTTCAAAAAAGAAAAATAGCTGTTAGTTGTAATTTTGCACCATTGTCGCATTAAATGTGTATACCTGACTGATCAGAACAGGCTCTCAGAAAAAATATTTAAATATAAATTAGGATCCTAGTAACATTTCCTATGTTTGAATATTCCTTGCTTCTTAAGGCCTTGAGACATTACCAGAGCATTAGTTCAGATTAGGTTATTAAGGTATTAGACATTACTTTAAAAAATAAAATTAAGCAGTGATCCTTGTGTTAAGAGTTTAAGAACAAAATATAACAAAAAGGTGAACTGAGATGCAAGATAGGGGAGAGGCATACACTTCAACTACAGTCTTACAACTAAAAGTGTAAGCAGCACTGAATATTCAAACTAGACTAAACTCTTTCTGCACCTGTACCTATATTTTCCCTGAGAGATCATAATTGACCAGTTTTTATTAAATACTCTTTCTTTCAGAATCCATAGTGCAGCTTCATAGCTGCAAGTCCTCAGCATTGCCTTTTTGCAGTATGTAATCTCAATGTTGGAGGGCTTATAAACGATATCTTCCTTTATCTCTGTTTAGTGTTTATACAGATTTGATCATTTACCTGTTTTTATCTTCTGCTGTAGTAGAAACAATGGAATGAAGAGGAGATACTAATGGCTTGGAAAGAAGAAGAGGTGCAAGAGCATGGGATGGGGAACAGAAGGGAGCTAAGGAAGAACAGACATCTGAGTCCAGGAGGCATGGTGAGAGAGAAAAAAAAATATATATATAATTAGACCTAAGAGTCCACTGAGACTCAAGGAACTCAAGGTTCTGATGTGTCAAATTATAATTTGACCAACTTCCAGTGAATTTTCGCAGAAATGACAGAAGGCACCCCTCATGAGGGGGGCAGCCCTCCTGCCAAAGTGTATTTTCCCCTCATTCTGTGAACTGTTTAGCTTAGTTTTGTAGTGTTTAAAGCAAGAGAAGATAACCTCTATTACTTTTGATGTTGGGTATTTGGATAAAATGTCTTGAGTTTTGAGAATTTCAAGTCCTGCCTACATACAAGAGATTGAAAATAGAGACCAAGATGCCAACAATGCTTAAGGCTTCTGCCACGGCAGAAAAGCTATTAGGCAAGAGATGCTGAAAGGATCTCAGGCAGGTAATTTGTGTGCCATCCTGCAAAGAAGGGACAAAACCCACAGTATAATTTAGAGGAAATATGTCCTCCTAACTCCAAACATATCAACTGGTGTAACCTTCAGCCCAGGAGCAGGACACAAACACACCAGGCATCTATGAGAGGGGGATTCTCTATGCCACCTCAAAGTGCTGGCACATGCAATCTCCAGCAAAAATGTACGTTATAGTGGAATGTATTTATAAAAATTAGCTAAAGGTGGTATCACCAGACCCATTTATTCAATGTACAACTCAGTCACAAATTTGATGCACTCCACAGAAAAAGACTTGAAAGGGATATCCTGAGTCACTGCTTATAAACGTAAGCTCCCTCTTGAAACTAGTTTAACTATCATGCCGTGCACACATACACAGGCTTTTTACTGTGTTACCTTCAGGGAATACAACCATATTCTCTCTACCTCCATTTTGCTAGGTTAAACAAACTACTGTCTTCCATATGATGGGCTCTCTGTTCCCGAGATCATTCTAGCAGCCTCTCTCTGCACATGTTCATCTGTTCCCCCATTCAAAAAAAGACAGATTCAGGCTGGTAACCACAACTGTACATGGTAATCCAGAAGTGGTCTCACCAGTTCCTTGTGATACCCATCTTGCTGTACCCAAGGATCATATTTGCTTTTTTCATCACATACATCTGTGCCCTTCTGCCTCCAATTGATGAGCTCAATGACATTAGCCTAACAGAAATGTATCTGCATTTTTATTTTCAGAACAAGTGGCAATACTGCTTAGCAACATTTTCTGTACCTGGCTTGAACAAAATAATAGTGCCATAATGTTTTAATTTAAATTTTAATTCTTACCAAGATCCCATATCTAAATTAATAATAAACCTCTGGCTATGAATGCATGGCTATAAAGTATTTAAGAAACATCAATTAAATTTAAAAAAAAAAGTCTTAAATCCACTGAGAAAGTAACTGCAGCTATGTGCAAGTCTTGGCTTCTATTACTGATGAACTACAGAACTAGGACCACAAAAGTTAAAATCAGCACCGTCAATTTAAAATGTACTTAAAGCAGGTACCTCTGGATGAAGCAAGAAAAGTACATGCAGCAATGACATGACAAACTGCTGCTCAGAGACAAACAGTACAACTGGAAGTTTGGTAAGTTGTCAAAGCACTCAACTGTTAAAAGGAAAACTGAGACCAATAATTTTTAAAAATCTGTCAATTACTAATATATTAGAATATTAACATTAAAGAGGCTTCAAAATCTAAGGTACTTTCAACACTGGCTCAGTTTTCACATTTCATTAAAAACTCAGAGCAAGGACCTGATCAGCTTCAGCTTGTTTTCATGCACTAGAACACAGTGCTCCAAATACTGCCGGGAAATTTTTAAATCTAAAATACATGTTTCTACACTTTGAACACCCTCCTCTTGTTAAAGCTACTTGTACCTTGAGGTTCCTTTCTTTTAAGCCCAAGCCTGGATTTAGTACATAAACCCAAGTGGACATTGAAATGTTTCTTTTTACATGATGGGGACCTGAAAAATAACATGGAGTATTGAGTTAATAAAAAGAATGTTGCAGCTGTTTGAGAGTGCAATCTTGTATTTGATTTCAGAATTGGAAGCTATTTTTGTCTTGCCTGTTACGTACCGAAGTTGTGTGTGTCACAGTAATACCCTAGTCATCACTGCTAGAAAGTGATCATCTAATTCTGAACTTCAGCTGGAAGTAAGCAGCAGCACAACTTCAGGAATCAGACTAAAAGAGTAGAATGGCATCAAAAGAAGGCCCACAGGGGTTAAAGTCACAATGAGTTTGGAAAAAGATTATTTGTACCAGGGCTGCCTTTAAAAAACCCAAATTCTATCACAAAAGTATCTGCACAGTGTAATTTTAGCAATCTCTGCTCCATAGGAACCGTAGAGCTGCAGCAGTTTTGAGACCAGATAAGTCAGGAGAGGTCAGTGACAACCACCAAGTCAGAAACTGAATCAGAGACCTCCAAAAGTGAAAACATTAGCCTCAAGAGCTGAAGCTAAAAAGCCAGGTTCTTGGGCTGAGGCTGCAACAGAATTGCATCTTTTGTGGAAGGACACCACACACTAGCTATTGATTTACATTAACACCATGCATTCAAACACTTTCTTTCATCCCACTGAATGCTGGGCGGAATCGTACTCCTTCAAAACTAAGGAGTGCATATCAATTTCACTTAAACACACTAGAAATTGACAAGGACTGATCCTTGATTAGTATTTTAAAATGAGCAGTGCACAATTTTAAATACCGAGCTAGGTTTCTAGACAGGTGTATCAATACAAAAATAAGTGTCTTGGCCTACAACCTCATACAGTAGTCCTTGGTCATCATGACACAAATCTCATTGGCTTCAGTATCACTGCCAACACAAGGGAACCCACCCTAAAACTGAAACAGGTTTGAGATTTTACAGTTTCTTCAGAAATCTCTGCGACATGACTCCTACCTTCTTTTGGCAGAATAGCGACCACAGGAGAATGGTCAACCATTGTATACCACTCTCTATCCACGTACTGGTCAAGCTCTATAAGCCTTTTGGAGGAAGACTGTGCCATTCCATGGTCACTTGTGATTATGATATTTACTGTGTCCCATAACTTTGCTTTCTTCAGTTCTGACACAAGATATCCCAGCTTGGCATCAGTCTCATTAATGACAACTCGCATAAGTGGATTTTCTGGGCCCAATATATGCCCCATTTCATCAGGCTGCTCCCAATACAAGAGACCAAAGTTGATGGGGTTTTCAGATGTAAACCAATCAATAAGATGGGAAACTCGATCTTCAAATGAAACAGACTCATTGTACATCATATAATGCGTAGGAAGGACTCCACGTATTCTTACATCTGTTCCTGGCCACATAGCAGCTCCACTTCTATGTCCCTCCATCTGGTTTGTGACCCATATTGGACAAGCCTCTTCCCAGAACTGTGCATCATAAATGTCCATGTGGTTCATAGAGAATGTTCTGTTCAGGATAGGATCATACATTTCATTAGCAACTATGCCATGGCTCTCTGCATAAAGGCCAGTCACCATTGTATAATGATTAGGATAGGTTTTTGTAATGAACACATTAGTGACCTGTTTCACATGAACACCATTCTTCATGACATAGTGGAAGTGGGGAGCTGGCACTCTGTTGATGTAATCCCATCGAAATCCATCAAAAGATACCAGTAATACTCTGGGTTGTTCCTTCTGGAGACAGAAAGTGCTGGGAAAAGTCAGAAAACAAACTGCCCAGAATCTCCAGCAGCAATTCACAGCCATCCTAAAAGTCATATTTCCCTCAACAGAAAAAGGTGGTATCTGTGGATTACAAACGTAAAGTTAAATTATCTTAAACATTTGCTTTTATTATACGTATAAGAAAATCTAAAACAAGTTTTATTTACAGGCTTGGTTATATACGCACATGGCTGGCATCCGCATAGCAACTTGAACACTCAAAACGCTAGTGGACTTTATCCTCATTCCAGTGTGTAACTATGTAGTCCATATTAGTTTATAACCACAGGATTTAAAAAAGCCTGTGCACTTACTATAACCCACCATAAACAATGAGTATCCAGTGCGCATGAACAGCACTGTGTATTAGCATCCCTGACCAGGTCCCCATCAGGTTCAAGGCTTTTAAGAACACCCGATTCCCCTTCCCTGCTTCCAGAACAGTTAAGTAACCAGATCAGAGATCGCTAACCCTGCTAGTTTGAAGTCAGGCAGAAGGCAGGGCAGTGGCACTGGATAATCTTATCTTATAATTATCTGGGCTAGGTTTTTTAGCCCCTATGGCTGTAAAGTTTTACTGCTTCGTTTACCACCTTTGCCTCCCAGGAGTGCCCCCACTCTGCACCTCCTGCCTACCCTATCCTTTGTATTTAAATTGCTCCTTTTTTAGTTTGAATCCCTGCTCTCTGCAGATCCATGCACAACATCTGAGTTTGCACTGTGCTACTTATAAAAGCTTATCCTTTAATTATTTTATAAAGGTGCCACGCTGCCCTGACAGTTAAATAAACTGCAGATTAACTGTAACTGTTCACAGAGGTACTATCAAGTGAAAAATTAGACAGCAGGACAGAAAGATGGTAAGCACTTAAATGGTTCATGTCCTTAACTGATATGCAGATAGCTGTATGCGTATTATAATGAGTAATAGACAACACATTGGAACTAGTATTGTGTTACACAAGTAAAGGGACTATGCACGTCTCTGCTCCACACTAGTGGAACGTGCTAGTTCCTAGCTTTGCAAGGGTTAGAAAGCATGTTACAGATGAAGAACTAAGACACAAGCAAGTTAAGAAGTCTTTTGACTTGTCATGGTATACGGGAAGTGTAGAAGTCACTGCCTTAACCAAAAACCCACATGAACTACTTGCTCTTCCTTTTCACCCTGACATATTTGCTAGCATTTCAGGACTGAAAGTCTCACTTCTATCATAAAAAAAAAAGTTTCACTTCTCGCGTCAAACTGTTTTGTTGGTAACTAATGGAAGGGCTAAACTTTAGCTATCTATTTTATCCAACACTAAAATATTGTATATGCTCAAGGAATTTATAATGGGTAAAGCCATAAGTTGAGTGTAAAGCTTGATTTTTTTAATGCTAAAATAGAAGCTGGAAAAAGAAGCTAATTTAAAGTGATATGTTGAGCATAAAGGCTAATTTAAATTAGCTTCTTTTTCCAGCTTCTATTTTAGCATTAAAAAAAAAAAAAAATCAGATGCCGTTAAAGGTAGATTAGTTTATACATAAACTGAATGCATGCACACACGCACACATGCAAATATATTTTGTAGTCTCTTCCTAGAAAATCTCCACCCACACACCAATGAAAAAGCATACCTTGTTTTTACCATGGCTTAAAGAACTATATTTTAAATGTGGCAAACATAACTATTTGTAAGCTGTTTCTAGTACTACTGATTTAAGCCTGACAGAAATGGTTCAATTGTTCCCCACTAGGCTCCAAAAACATACCTTAACCCTAAACCAGATGGACCTTCTTTAGGAGCAAGGACTTCAGTACTCCATACTGTTCAGGTCTGTTTTGTTGCTACTAAGGGTGACAAGTCTGTAACGACTTTGAAATACAAACGTTTCTGGGAACTGAAGTAACCCCACACTAATATTCAAAACAATTAGAATTGTACCATCAGTTTTAAGCTACTGTCAATCTAGCGCACAATCACAGTAGAAATTTAGATCTGAAATAATATCTATTATACAATCCACATAATAATCACGTTACATTTCTCCTGAGTTATAAGGGCAGCAGAAAGTCAAAAGGTTGTTTGGTATCTCAGACCACAGCTGCATTTCCTGTCCAATGCTATTAAGTTTAATACTGTCTAAAGTTATTTGTTCTTTCCAAGCAAATACCACTGAACCTAGACACAAGATGCCTGAAATTTAAAAAAAAAACTTGCTAAAAAATTAGTGTAACCATGAATAATTTGACCACTACAAAATACAAAGAGAGATCATGACCTGTTGCAGCCAAAAATGTTTTTCTTTCTGGATACATTTGAGAAAAAGTTCTTGGTCTAATCAGTTGACTCATCATGAAAAATCACCAGGCTTACAGGAGCCCTAAAGTCAATTCCAATTATAATTATATATGGATAACAGCAGGTGCAGAACTCATGCAAAATGAAATCATTCTCTCGCAATTCATCAAGAGTTATTTTTCTCTCTCACATGCTCAAAATCAAGATTTAAAAATCCAAATTCAGGCAAGGATAGATTCCTTGAAAAATCCTGGATGCAAATCTGAGGGCAGCAATGCAAACAAAGTGTTCATTTGTCCTGCCACACTGGATAATTTGTCTATTTGCTACACAGCTTAATGTGTGCTGGCACCAAGAACATTTCCTCATTCTAGCATTTTTTTTAAGCCAGCTTCTCTGGCAGAAGAGACAGGCCTGCTTCTAACAATCAGAGAGGTGTATCCTGCAAAATTCTCTCTGCAATAATGGATACATCATGTAGGGAATGAATGATTCTTTTGGAATCAACAGTAAAACACACTTTTATTGAAGTCAATACTAATCCTACTGGAAACATCACAGAGACCACAGTGACCTACTGGCTAATGTAAAACATCTCCTCATACCTGCTGAAAGTCACTTACATAAGAACATTTACCAACTAAAAAAAAAGGAAAACAGCCCTACTGTATTTACTCTGGTTCAAAATAACTTTTCTTCCCTCCAGCCCCCATTCAACATGGGGAAAAACAATACTTCATCTCCAGCTTGAGTATGGGACCACTCCAGCCCAGTGCTGTATGGAGCAGTGGTGTCCCCAGCTGATCTGGGGAGCCCAGGTCTGGCAGGGGACAGCAGTGGGCACATAGGTTCCTCCTTCCAGCACCTGCTGCCAGCCAGCGAGGAAGATGGGGTTGGGAGGGGAAGGGCCAAATATCCCATTTTAAAATGCTAAGTTTTCACCACATTTCCTGCCCTGAATGTGTTAACTTTATTTTAAGCAGGGCTATTTAATTGGTGGTCTGCTGCTTCTGCTGCCATGTAAAGGAAAACAGCCCAAGTCCCTGTACACTGCCTGTGCTACCTGTGCAGAGGAGAGGCTGCATGTTCCAAGCATAGTGCCCACAGCAGGGAATGATCCAGGGGAACCATGAGTTGCCTCTGCCTGGACAAAAGTTGGACAGCCAACTATTCTTCAAGGAGGTTATTGCCTACAACAGACACAGTCAAATCCCTCAGATTCAACTTTTCAAAGAAGACCCTATAATTTTTTTTCCTAGTCCTATACCTTCTGCCATACTGCAAGCCAAACCTGTCCAAGCATTTTCCAGATTAAGTTTGGATTAAGTTTCCCTCATCTTTCTGCTGGGAGCCCAAACTCTTCCTCAAATCAGCTATTTCCCACCATACCCCATCAGATGTACCAATCTATAAAGTGTTCATAAACATTAGCAAGCTTCACCTTAAAAACACTCAAAGCAGAAAGTTACTTTCAATACACTCCCCTCCCATCACACACACACACACACACACACACGAATTAAACAAATCAGTAGAGTCAGGAAGAGAATCTAAATATCCTAATCTCAATCCAGTACTGTACCAGTACAACATCTCCATTATGTTTACTATACATGCTACAAAGTTAGGAGACCACACTTAAGAGATGAAAAATGAGTGGTCAACATTAGCAAAGGAATGCGTGCATCACACCCAAGTCTCACCACAGAAGTCATGTGAGCGCACACCCCTGCTGGTCACATACCACCCCATCCTGGAACGGATCAGAGGAAGCAAACAGCTGCAGCTTATACGCAACAAGGATCAGAACGTGACAGAGATTCCTAGCCCCTCTGCTTCTGGCTTTCAAACAACCTCTTAACCTTGCCCAACTAATCATCATAAACTAGGGGTGCACGGATAAAGATTTTCTTGGCCAATACCAATAGCCAATTATGCACCAGGCATATCAGATGATACTGATCTGATAACTGATTTACAGGAATTTAGCCAGGCAGTATGGAGAGCTGCACCCTGCAGGTAAGTCTGTGAAGGGGAATGGGGGAGGCAGATCGAGGCCCCCACAGTGAGGGAGGGTGTGGCGCAGGGGCTGCTGCCCTGCCAGGGTAGTGAATGGGACTCAGGGCTGGGGAGGGGAGCAGGACGGAGCTGCAGATGGCTTGTCTAGAGGATCAGCATCTTGGCACTTAAAAAATGGCAGTGTCTTGGCACTTAAACTAAAGCCTGTCAAATGAGCTTTAGTTTAACCACTCCTGCCACCGTTTTTAAGCATGGGGATGCTTTTAACTCAGTGGCGGGCAATTATTTCAGGCAGAGGAATGTTCACCAAGTTGTGGCAAGCTGTCAAGGGTTGCATGGGTAGCCCAGCTCCTTGACAGGTGCCCCGCCCCCTGGTCACCAACTTGGGACCAATGTCCCAGGACCAGCACAGGGGCCCAGAGCAGGGCGCAGGCTGGCAGGGGTCTGTGGAGCTGGGCTGAGCTACACCAGCAAGGAGAGGGGGGAGCTGGCCTGGATCCACAGAGCCCCTGCCAGCTGGGACCCTGTACCCCTGCCACCCTGCTCTGGGCCTTGCTGGTGCTGACCCTGGGACACTGGTGCAGGCCCTGCTCCTGCACCCGCTGACTCCCAGGACACCCCCAGCCCCACAGTACAGGTGAGGGGCAGCACACAGCCCCGACCCTGCGCCCCCCAGCAGGGAAGGAGCTGGTGTGGAGCAGGGAAATGCGGCCCCACGCCCACCCCGTGCCCAGAGCTCCCTGCTGCAGCCGCTCGCAGTCCGTACAGGGCTGTCCG